AGAAATCTGCCTCAGTACTAGTCTCTATTTTTTTTTTTTTTTAACTGTGTGGATCTATATATCAGTATAGCTCAAAACTTCAAATAATCCTTTTTAATAAAAATATAAACTTTAGTTTCAAAACACTACATACATTACATAATCTCTTTATTTTCTTCAACTTCTTTACTTTTCTTACTATTTTAAAATTCTAAATGGATCCTCCTAAATGTTCATCCACTAGTAAAGTGAGGGAGGGCTAGTCAGCCACCACTAATACCACCACCACCACAAGTAGTGGTAGTTTGACTACGCAGCCTATGCGTCAGCTTAAGCAGTCAAGGAGTCTTTGTCTCGCATTTCAGGTCCGTTGGTGCAAGATCCTGGTCAAGGAAAGGCACCAATAGCAGGTAGCAGTGCGGCAAGGTGCAGAAGTCTTTTCTATGGTAAAGGGAAACCAGCAGGGCTTTTTAGGGTGAGCACTATGGCTAGTACTACTACTAAAAAAACAACTAGTAGTAGTAATAGCCCAATAAGTAAGAGGAAGCGTGTTTCGCCCCCGCATCTTCCTCTACCCCAAGCAGGCCTGTGAGTCATGCTGCTAAGAAGCTTCCTTCTTGTACACGGAGCTGTTTCCTAATCCCCCTCCAAGACCACCACTTCCACCACCACCAGTGCTGCACCTGCTTCTACCACTGACAGCGGCACATCAGCACAGGAGTTGTTGCCAATGCTACCCCATGCTCCTAGTCCTATTATTCTTGGAGGTGATATCAGTCTTACCCTCAGCCTTGCAAGGCTTGCATTTAGTCTGGCTGATGAAGAGCTTGACTATGAGCCTGAGAGTGAGGAGGAGATAGTAGAGGAGAGTCAGAATTCTTCAGGGAGCGTCCCTTTTCTCCTGCTACTAGTGCACATTCTTCCCCTTCCTCTCCACTTTCTCCAATAGTAGCACCTGCTAGTGCTACTTCAACCATTAGCAGACCACCACCACCACAATCAATTATTACCACTACTATTTCCAGGTCCACTGTTCCTCCTCGCAGTGGCACGGTTACCACCACGAGTGTAACTGTGCCAACAATCACCACCACCACTGGTACTACTAGCCACAGTACCAGTGCCGAGGCTACTGTGCCAGCTCCCAGTAGTCACACTCCTGCTGCTGCTCATCAACCTGCACCATTAGCAGCAGAATCCCAAAAGGCAGGCTCCAATATTTTGCGCTGCAGAAAAGTTTGGGATCACTTTTTGAAAGTGTTGGAGATGGGCACTTTGCAACGCGCAAACTTTGTGGGAAGTAAGTTAGCAGGGGGAGAGTGTTGGGTCATCTCACCAGTGCCGGGATGAACCATCACCTTTGCAGCCAAGGCTGTGTTATTGAGGGAAGAGGCAGAAAGTACTAGGGCAGGCAGCATAGCTGCTACTACTACACTGTCCAGTACCATGGCAGCTATAGAAGGGGAGCCTTTCAAACAGTTGATGGAGGCTGTGGCTCCACAATACCATCTTCGCTCACGCTCCACTTTCAGCAGCAGGATAGTCCCTTCACTTTACTGGTCCTGTGTTAGAGTAGTGAAAAGGGAGTTTTCGAAGGCTGCTGGTCAGTCTGTGCATTTTACCACAGATTTGTGGAGTGCACCAAGTGGCCAGCACGCCTTTCTTTCCCTGACAGCACACTGGTGGGAGCCTAGTGTGTCTCAGGAAGCTGCTGCTGCAACTTCAACAGCAGCAGCAGTGTCTAGCAGAAAGGGAGGAATTGTATCTGTAGATCAGCTGGGCTATAGATATTTCCTTCTCCATGCTGAAGTGATGGATACAAAACATACTTTAGATAACATTCTGCAGGCAGTAAGGATGATGGTGTCTCTTTGGGTTGGAGCGGAGGCAGGCACCAATGTAGAAGTGGGGTTTGTGGTTACTGATGGAGCTTCAAATATGGTGAAAACTCTACTTGATGGTAACCTTGTTGGTGTGCGCTGTGCAGCGCACATTATCCATCATCTAGTAGTCAAGTCAGCAATCCCAGAAGGTAATAACAGAGTTTCCAGTGTGATTGAAAGGTGCAGGAGGATTGCTGGATACTTCCACCGCAGTGTGAAGGCTAGCCAACTGTTGAGTCAGGAACAAGAGAAGGCAGGTCTTCCCACACACTGTCTACGACAAGATGTCAGTACACGGTGGAACTCTACTGTGGATATGCTGGAGAGGATTTTAGAGCAGCAGAGGGCAATCCATAGTCTGGCATCAGACCAGTACATCGGTATTGGATCTCCACTAGGTAGAGACAATTGGACAGTGATCGCTCAGGTAATGGCAAGAGGTTGTTCAAGGTGACCCTTTACATCCTGATGTAGTAACTCTGGTCAGGAGGCTGAAGGATCAGCTTAAAGTTCACCTACGTGAGCGAATTGATAATTCTCCTGAACTGATGCTAGCTTGCCTGTGTGATCCAAGGATTAAGGGAAAGCTTGCACTCAGATCCAATAGCCTAACAACTTGGAGGGAGAAACTGATCCAGAGGGTGTGTGACTGGCAGTAAAAGAGGGGAATGCTGTCTGAGGGAGTAGTTCAGCAGGAGGCTGAGATGTCGGTTACTTCTAGCAGAAGCGTTGGCAGTGGCACTACCACCACCACCACCACACAACTGAGAGGAGCAGCTGCATTTTGGGAAGAGTTGCTTGAGGATATAGTTGGACCCACTGAGAGTGCAAGTAGCAGACAGGAGAGTACTGCCTCAGAAATGGTTAGAGCATACCTCTCTGAACCTCCTTTGCCCCATAATGTCGACCCTCTTAGCTATTGGGATGAGAAGAAGAGTGTGTGGCCTGCACTCTCATTGGTTGCGCAGGAGCTGCTATCATGTCCGCCAACCACTGTCCCAAGTGAGCGTGTATTTTCGGTAACCGGTAATATACTGAATCCACAGCGCTCACAAATGTCACCTCATCTCATGGAGCAGATTGCCTTTCTTAAATTCAATCTGCCTAAATTGGGGTACCCTGCTCTACACTTTGACTGTAATTGAGCTTAGGGTTTCTCAACTTTCTTTCTAATTATATAAAGTTGGTGGTGACAAAATAGTTATTTTATTTCTCATTCCTCCTTATTCTTCCATTCTCTCCCCAATCCCCAAATACCTTAAAATCTCTCTTAAAGTGGTACTGGTTTCTCCCCTCTGGCTGTGTCTGACAGCGGTGTGGCAACGCCTGCTACCTCCGCCAGCGCAGTCAGTTAACGCTAGGTTATTGTGTTTGAACTCTGGAGGTCCGCTCCCCACGTCAAGGACTGAAGGAGTTTGGATGCTTTGCCTTGGGGATGAAACAACTGAGTGGGTCGCCAATTGCCCACTAACTTCTCTTTACCATTTTATTTCTTTCTATTTTGCTGTTGGTGGTGGCAAAACATATTTTTTTCCTCATTCCTCCTTATTCTTCCATTCTCTCCCCAATCCCCAAATCCTTAAAATCTCCCTTAAAGTGGTACTGGTTTCTCCCCTCTGGCTGTGTCTGACAGCGGTGTGGCAACGCCTGCTACCTCCACCAGCGCAGTCAGTTAACGCTAGGGCATTGTGTTTGAGCTCTGGAGGTCCGCACCCCACGCCAAGGACCGAAGGAGTTTGGATGCTCTGTTCTGGGGATGAAACAGGTGAGTGGGTCGCCAATTGCCCACTCACTTCTCTTTACCATTTGTGGTTACATTTTTATTTACTATCTCACTTTTTCCTTTTTCTTTCTTTTTCACTTTCTTATGAATCAAATTAAAAACAAACACACATCCACACATAAACAATAGAACACTAAAATTCTTTAACTCACATAAGTTAAAAGTTAGTATAACAAACCACATCCATTTCAGATCTGTATTCCACTGACACTACCTCAATTAATCAATTACTAAGGCCGGTAGTGTCAGACCAGCTACTTGCATCCCCGCCAAAAAATAAATTAAAAAAATGCCAACAAACTTTGTGGGACTGTTTATCTGCAATAATTACCTGCTAGGTTTAAAGGACCACTCTAGGCACCAAGACCACTTCAGCTCAATAAAGTGGTCTGGGTGCCAGGACCCTCTAGTTTTAACCCTGCAGCTGAAAACCTAGCAGTTTCAGAGAAACTGCTAGGTTTCACTGAGGGTTAATCCAGCTTCTAGTGGCTGCCCCACAGCTACTAAAGCATGCCTCGGGCACTTCAATGTGTGAAAATCACAGTGAGAAG